CCAGCCTTCCAGTCGTGGGTCCAACCTCCTCAAGCCAGCCCCTCCTTCCCAGCCAGAGTTGCATCTTCCCCAGACATTCAGACCCGCTTCTGATCATGAGGCTGGCCTGGCAGGTGAAACCGAGGCTGCAAGAGGAGGTGGGGAAACAAGCAGAGAAACAGAGGGGTGGTTGATCTCCTTCAGGGCAAACGGTGCTTACCGATGAAGCGGAATTCGCTGCCCTCGCATTCGATCACCACGGCATTGTCACAGAGCCATAAAAGATTGTCGTCCGTGACCAAGGACGGGTGTTTCTCCACCTGCTCCAGCGGGAGGAAGCAATAGTGCACCTCGTCCTCGGTGTCCAGCAAGGGGGTGTCCATGAGCCCGAGGGGGGCTTTCTCCTGCAACCCTATCAGAAAGGGGGCAAAAAAAGAAGCCTGGGGGCTCTGGGGCAAGACCGGCCCTCCCTCCCTCCCTCCTCCCTCTGTGCTTCTGGCCCTTGGACTCTGTCCCTGCTCGTCTGGCTTTGGATGGGGAATCTCTCTGCCTCACAAGATTCGGCTGCCCCCAAACCTCTTCCCCTATTTCTTCTACCGTGAATGACCAGCAGTAAAAACCTGCTCTTCCCGCTTCTCAGGACAGGGCTAAGAGCGTCCTGCATTCTTGTTTTAAATCATTCACACTTGAGTACTTCTTCTCTGGTCACCCCCTAAATCCTAGAAATTCTTAGTATCTCTGATAATTACTGTACAGACAACAAAGGCTTCTCTGTGTGTTTTATTTGTTTGTTTGTTTGTTTTACACAAAAGCATACTGTGCTCATGTCTGCCACTGTGTGCCATGCCAGTTTGGACCAAGAATAGGTGGTTCCATTCAACGGATGCCCCCAAAACCCATATTACCTTTTATATTGCATGGGGCATTTTTTTCCTCTGAAAGAAGCTGCTCTGGGCCATTGACATTCCAAACTTCTTTGCATAGCTACGAAATCCCAAACTTTTCAAGCCCTTCCCACATGCCCGGCCCTTCAGGAAGGTTGTTCTTTTGTGTGTGTGTGTGTATGTGTGTGTGTTTGTGTTTGTGTGTGTTTTCCTTCCTGCCAGGCAAGTGGCCAGCTCCATCCACAGCTGCTTCTAAGAGGGCATTTAGCAGCATGCTGGTTCTCTGGCATTTAATTAACAAGATTGTAACAGTATTTGTTGCTGCTGTTTGATTTCAACAGATTAATTTTTTGGAATTGCTTAATGTGATTTTCTAATTCCTTTGATACGGAATTATACTTTACAATGTTGTAAATGGCATGGGGGGAAGTATATTTTGAAACACCATTAAACAATACACAAGGCAGATAATTTAAGAATTAAATGTTACCAGTAAATGTTGGACTCTTAAGAGGAAATTCAGCTGGCTTGCTGATACATTTCCGTGTTCTCCAGTAATTCATGGATGCTCTCTCTGCTATCGGTATGTCAGCAGGTCGGATCCGTAAATTATGTTTCCCTTCTTTTAAGTTGTCTAAAGTCTGTTAAGAGAAAGACCCATCTGCATGCACGGCCCTCCTAACAGAGCGCTAGAATAGGAGTGCGTTGGTCCCGTTAACTCCAGGTCCATGTAAATCTGGACCTTACTTGTTATCCCAAGCAGCACTGCTAGGCTGAGCCAACACCTGATTTCTTTGTCCACCAAACTGCTTCACTTTGGGCAAACCTTTCGGTCCACTGGCCCCTCCTCCATCCTTGCCCTGTGCGGAAGCCCCGAGGGACCCTTTCTTAACTTGGCTTAAATAAAGACTGGGGCTTTTATTTCATGACACTTATAATTTCCTCCATGCAGGCTTGTCTGCATTAGTCCCCTCTGGTGAAGAGCCCAAGTGATTTCCCCCCACCCACCCCCAGAGGACTGTTGTGGGGGGGGGGGAACAGACGGGACAGAGCAGAGCAGCAGAACCTTTATGTGTGTGTGTGTGTGGGGGGGGGGAAACCAGAGGGGACAGAGCAGAGCAGCAGAACCTTCCCAGAGGTCAAGGGACCTTCTCTGGTTGGCAGAAACACTTGACTAGATTTATCCTTTCCAAAGGGAACTGACTGGCATAACTGACCAGACTCCTGCCAGGATGGCCACCCGCTCTTGGAAAGCTTGCCCTCCAAGGCAGGAGGAGCGCTGGGGTGTCCTTCTCGAGGAGCCCTCTCCTTCCAGCCCTCCTGCCCCATCACGGAACCTGACCTGCTGCTCCACCTGCACCTTGGACGTCCTCGGTGTGAAGAAGCTGCCTGTGTCCAGGAAAGCCCAGACCCCGGAAAACCCCGAAAAGAAGGACCCGAAGACTCTGGGTGGCCTGT